CTGATGCAGGCTGAGGCTGAGGCAGGCTGAGGCTGAGGCCGAGGCTGAAGGCAGACTGAGGCTGAGGCTGAAGCAGGCTGAGGCTGAGGCTGAGGCAGGCTGAGGCTGAGGCTGAGGCAGGCTGATGCTGAGGCAGGCTGAGGCTGAGGCTGAGGCTGATGCAGGCTGAGGCTGAGGCAGGCTGAGGCTGAGGCCGAGGCTGAAGGCAGACTGAGCTGAGGCTGAAGCAGGCTGAGGCTGAGGCTGAGGCAGGCTGAGGCTGAGGCTGAGGCAGGCTGATGCTGAGGCAAGCTGAGGCTGAGGCTGAGGCTGAAGCCGAGGCCGACGGCAGACTGAAGCTGAGGCCGAGGCTGAAGGCAGACTGATGCTGAGGCTGAAGCAGGCTGAGGCTGAGGCTGAGGCAGGCTGAGGCTGAGGCAGGCTGAGGCTGAGGCTGAGGCAGGCTGAGGCTGAGGCTGTGACTGCGACTGCCGTTGCCACTGCGACTGTCATCGCGAATGCGACTACGACTGCGAGAACAGCAGAATTCTACAACTGGATTATCATCTGAATCTTAAGGGGAATGCTTCCAGATATGCTCCTACACATCGCTGTTAGGTTGCTTTGCCGGGATAATTCCCCTCCTGATTTTTGTCGGTTTCTCAGAGGAGGGAAAGGTACCCCACACCTCTACCCTTTCCTCGTTCTCCCCTTTCTGGGCCTCCTCGGAGGCCCGCGTTGCCACCGCTGGATTCGCCTCGAAATTCTGGTCAGAGCGCACCCCGGGCGGGGCCCAGGGAGTGGCGGTATCGGTGCCTTCTGGTTTCCCCGGCTTCGTGCGTGGTTTCTTCGCAGGGTGATCCGGGATGCTCCTCCATAGTCCCCGCCGAGACAAGAGTGCACACGTCCGAGCGATGCCGAGATTCAGGGGGGGGCGACACATGGGGGGGGCGACGACGTGGGGGCCCGAAAGGTCCTCTTGTCGGCAGCCTTCGCTGCCCCCCACTGCGGGCAATATTTATATCCATATCCAGTGCGTCTTGGACTTTCTTGGAAGGGGCGCCGCAAGGCCGAGACGCACTGGATATGGATAAAAATCTAGCCTCTTAGAAGCAACTTATAATCCATATCCAGTGCGCCTCGTGTTTCTTGGGAAGAGTCCTACACTTCAAGACGCACTGGATTTGGATATAGAAATTGCCCGCACCCCCATCCATCGCCCCCCCCTTCACGCGTCATCCGGAGCAGCTTGGGCCATGAAGAGTGGGGATGGATCCTGGCCCCAGCCGTGCTGTCCACCCCCACCGCCAGTCATCCACCCCCGCCCCCCAGACCGCCCCCCAACCCGGGGGCGCCTCGACCCCCTCCCCCCAGAGGCCAGTTTTCGTCCTGTCCTCCTCCTCCTCATCCTCCTCCTCCTCCTCCTCCTCCTCCTCCTCCTCCTCCTCGGTCGGCCCTTCACGGCCCTGGGCCCGAGGACGTTCGGCGGCAACTCACGGGAGCCTCCCGTGCCATCCTGTTGCCTCCCGAGAGAACCAACGCAACTCGACGCTACCCGACGCACAGTCGAAGCGAATCCTGTCGACGCCAATCGACGCTAAGTCGACGCTATCCGGTCGATCACCCGACGCCCATAGACGCTGGTGCGCTCGAAAGACTGACTTGCGATGGTGTACCTGGCTCCCAGGATTTGCCTTTCGCCGCTTTTAAGGACGCAGTGGATGCATTGTTGCTCGATGCGTCCCGCATGGGAGCGAACGGGCCCCCGGTGGCCGAGACGGAAAGAAAACGCCAGGACTGAACGGAACCAGCCGCTTGAATCGCCAGTGGACACACCTCCCGTGAGTGCTAACGGCCTGGGACCGACACCCACGGACCCGGACCCGCGAAAGTGACGGCCGCGACGCCCTCTCGCGAACCGAAGACGGCCCATTCGCTAATCGACGCGGCAGGGTCGGAGGTCTGTCCACCCCCGATCCTCCTCCTCCTCCTCCTCCTCCTCCTCCCCCTCCTCCCCCTCCTCCTCTCCCTCCTCCCCTCCCTCCTCCCTCCTCCCTCCTCCCCTCCTCCCTCCTCCTCCCTCCTCCCGCCTCGCCTCCTCCCTCCTCCTCCTCCTCCTCCTCCTCCTCCTCTCCTCCGCTCCTCCTCCTCCTCCTCCTCCTCCTCCTCCTCCTCCTCCTCCTCCTCCTCCTCCTCTTGGACCGCCCTCTGAGCATGGAAATGCCTCCGAGGACGCCGTCGGCGGCGGCGGCGGCCCCGGCGGCGCCTCTTGAGCGACTCGTTCGCCCCGCCCCCGCCGGAGCTGGGCGTGGCACCTCCGCGGGCACCGCCGCCGCGCGGAGCGCGCCCGCGCCGCCGCCGCAGGAGGGTCCGAGCTGCTGGGGTCGGAGGGTCGCGCCGCATCGCCAGGGCATCGGCGATGCATCGGCGACGTCGGCGAGGCATCGGCAGCGTCTCCGTGGAGGAAGTCGGGCTCCGCACAGGGCCGCCGTCGCCGAAGCATTGGCGATGGGGCGGAGTCCTCTGGCCCCATCTGCTCCGCCCCCATCTGCGAGGCCTAGAGTGGAGGGGAGGTCCGATGATGGTTTCGAGGTCGGAGGCGAGGTTCGATGATCGGGGGGGTGGCGGGGCCGGGCACGCTTTCGGGCCTCCGGAAGCCTCTGGGGACCCCTCCGGACACCTCCGGGGAGCGGGTGACGCGAGATTCGGCGGCGAGCCGGGGGGAAGTGAGGAGGGGCAGGCTTTCTGAGAAGTTCTGTTTTCGGGCAAAGCTCAGGAAACCTCTCAGACGGCCCGAGGTCTTCCGGTCCGAGCCCTCTGAGAAGGCCCGCCCCCTCTCGCTTTTCCGCCCTGGGCTCGCCGCAACCACGGACCGACGTGCCGCACACGAGTTCTCGGGAGTGAGGGAGTGCCGTCGCCGTCACCGCTGCCGAGGGGCAACGATAGGGGGGACTGGCATAGGGGGGGGAACATCGTCCTGGCAACGGCGATACACCGCCGGCAGATCGGCGATAGGCGCCCGATAGCAAGCCCGCACGCTCCTGGGCGGGGTTGGGCTCTGGCCCCTGTCGGGGAGGAATGGGCCAGTGGGGGGTGAGGCATCTTGGTTTTCGGGCCACCACTCGGCTCTCCCGCAGCCGTTCGGGACGATCCGGGCACTCCTGGAACGCTCTCGGCGAGGCACAGCTTCCGAAACCCATCCACAGGTTGGAGCCTTGCCGAGAACCGAGGAGAATCCCCGAATACCTCGAAACTCGAAACTATCTCACCCCCCCCCCATACGCCCATCCCCCCCGATCGTTGCCCCTGAGGGCGTGCCGTCGACGTTGATGACTGCCCACCAGGCCACCCCAATCCAATCCGAAGTCGTTGTTGTGCCTCTCAGTTCCGCCGCCGCCGTCGCCGCCGCCGCCGCCGCCGCGGCGCGGTTCGGCCGCGGCGCGGGGAGTTGTGGTCGTTTTCGTCGCGCCGTCGTCGCCGTCGTCGCGCTGAGTGCGATTTTCGGTGGCAAGTCGCGGAAGGCGTTCCACGAGTGAGACGAAGCCAGGACGAGGAGCAATTCGGGTGCGCCTGGATGCTGCTTTTCCCCTCCACTTACCAAATCTTCTATATTCTCCTGCGGATCGACGATTATTGCTGTCTGTGTTTTTTCCCTCGTTATACATCGAAATATCTCTGAGATCCAACGGCTCTGGAGGACGTATTGGGCGCTGGGGCGTTCCGGCACTTGTTATTGCGCCCTCGGGGGACCTTGTCTGTCCCGTCGTGGCCCTATCCGCGTCGAATCCGTGCCGAATCCATCTCTCACTTGTCGGATCCGCGTGGAAGCCGTGTCGATCCACGCCAAGTCCGCGTGCTGAGAAGCCTCCTTCTCGGAAGCCCCGCCGCCTGCTTCGAAAGCCTCCCCCCTCACACGGGGCCTCGGCAGAGTCCTCTCGGCCGCGCCCAGAGGCCCGACGAGGGCAGCGCGAGGCCCCCCAAAAGCCCCAACGCCGCAGATCGCAAACCAGTGAGCAGGGACCGACTGTCCTGGCATTCGAAAATACAGCGACCGCGAGATGCTCTTAGAAGTTCACAGCGTTCTAAAGAACATAGGCGATGTTATTCGAACCTACACCCGATATGTTTAGTCAAAACGGTCTCAACCACACATGTTCTAAGGACATTCCGTGCAAACCACCATCTGGTGCGTCACGAACTGAACGCCTGCCTCTCTTCGATCCTTCCGCGCATCCGATCATCAATGTCAGCACTGCCCCGTTCGATGGTGAGGACTGTGACGAAGACGATGATGACGATGAGGATGGCCTTGTCCAACCAACCCTTCTGGCAGCCTCCGACAATTCATGTCTGACCTTCCTTAAGCACAGACCGACCGTCCCGGCATTCCTATAGGCCTGCCACGACATGTTCTTAGAACCCACAGCGTTCTCAGAACCAGCAACATGCACCTGGAACAGAAACCCGATGTGTCAAAACAACCCAGGCTCAGCCAGAAATGTAAGAACATTGCGTGGAAGCCACACAAGGTTCTCAGAACCTTCTTTGGTGGGCCTACAAGCGAGCCAGGACGCTTCGCCACTGCTCGACTTCCCTTCCTCGATCGTGCACGCCCCCGAGACCGATGCCGGCGTCCAGCGCCAGCCGCCCCAGCCCTCGGGGCCTCCAGGCCCTCACGACGCACATCGCAAACCACACCACGGTAAGGTCGGGCGTGTCCCCATACAAGCGGATTGTGGACGAAAAATAAGAAGACGTACCCCAAACAAAGATTCAAACGTTTTTTAAATAATTACTGCTTTGAAGAAAACTCCTCCTGTAGAGGGACAGGCCCGACTTAACACCACGGCGTAACCACACCCTTTGTCTTGTAGTCGTCTGTGGACGCCCAGAGGGGGTACGGACCCGTCGGGCAAGATGCCCAAACAAGTGTTGTCCAGAAGGTTCGCATCCGCTGCTGGGCAGGCGTGCTTCTGTCTCGAATGGACGACCGCGGCGACACCGACACCGAGTCCTGTTCAAAATGATCAGGGACTGCTGTTGGTCTTCGTATTGCCCTTTTTCCGTACCCATTTCGATAGTACCGACCCACGACGCCGATCGCAAATCACACCCTGGCATAAACACACCTCCGCGGGTGTTGCCAGAAGTGCCCCTGGCCCAAGGCGCTCCCAGGATTCCCCAATGGAGGCCCACCCGCCTCCAGAGCACCTCCCATGAGGCCCAGGAGGGCCCCAGGGGTTCCAATATTGAGCGAAAAGCTGGGGGCACCTCGGGCCAGGGGCACCTTCAGCAACCCCCGACTTGTAGTCGCCGACGCCAGAGACTTATTGGGCGTCGCTCAGTGGGGCCATAACGGGGGGGACGAAATGTGGACTTCTTGGGCCCAGAATGCCCCTGTTGGGCTCTAACAAATCCAAAAAGGCCCCGTGAGGAGGCCCTAAAGACACCCTTTAGCCCCTCCATTGGGTCCCCCTTTGGGCCCTGAAGGGCCCCTTGAGGGGCCACCTTATGGGCCCTGAAGGCCCACGTTTGGCCCTCGCTGGGATCCCCTTTCCGGGCCCTGAAGGCTCCATGTTGGGCCCAGCATTGCTATAGGCCTACCACGAAATAGGCTCTGAGAACAAACACGTGGTCTCCAGACCATGGAACCAATGTGCTTCAGACAAGACAATCTCGGCCAGAAATGTTCAGAGAACATTTCGCGCCGACCACGAAAGGTTCTAAGACAAGTCTTTGGTGGGCCTATAAATTCGGCGGTGGACAAACCTCCCCTTAGTAAACCTCCCCTTCGTGAAAACGGCCTGGGACCGAAACCGACGGACCTGGACCCGCAAAAATGACGGCCTCGACGCCCTCTCGCGAGCCGGAAACGGCCAATTCCTCAATCGACGTGTCAGGGCAGGAGGTCTTTCCACCTCCTACACCTGGAGGCTAGAGTAGGTAAGCCGAGACGCGTCGCCACTGCTCGACAGAGGCCGAGGCCGGCGACCGACCGCCGGCTCGCCCGCGGCCCGCTGGGAGCCTCCGCCGCCCGCTGGCTCGGCGCCGCCCTCGCAGCGCGGCGGCCCGGAGATGAAGCCCGGGGGCCCGCCGGAGCTGCGGGTGGCGCCGGGGCCTCGCCGGCCCGGCGGCGGTTTGGAGGCGTAGGGAGGGGAGTGGCGACGGCCATCCAGCCGGGTATACTTCAGCGTCGTGCTAGAGAGTCACGGCACGAGGGGTTCTGGCGATGTTCTGCCTCCGGGGGCTTGTCGCGGGCCCTGCAGAGGTCGTGAGACAACGACTCGGGACGAGAAATCGGTCCTGGGGAAGGGGTCCGGACTTTTGGGTGGCCCGAATAATAATTAAGATAATAATAATAATAAGAAGAATAATGACAATAATAATAATAATACTAATAATACTAACAAGACTAATAATACTAATAATAAAAAAGAATGATAATAATAGTAATCAGAACAACAACAATAATAATAATACTAATAATAATAATGATAACAATAATAATAATAAATAAAAATAAGAATATGATAATAATCATAATATCATAGTAATAATAATAATAAAAAATAAAAATAAGTATTATAATGATACTACAAATAACAATACTGATAATAATAATCATGAAAAAAATAAGAAACACACAAACACTACATATATATATATACATATATCTACATATATATGAATATATATATATGTATATATATATATAGATATATCGGTCTTCCCTAGACCTCCGACGTCGTATACTCGAAAATCGATCCTGGAGAAGGGGTCCAGACCTCTGGGGAACCACGCTGCGAACATAAATCCCGACGTCGGATGCCTGGGCCTGCTGACGAGAATCCTGAAAAACTAGCTGGGGTCCAGCATCTGCCAGAGGAAACTCTGGCGAGGGTGTCCGATGCCCCCGCGTCGATCGGTCCCAGACGGGTGGGTTCGCAACTGGCCGCAGGGGAGCGGCGACGACTCAGCGGCGGCACCAGCGGCAGACAGCCAGGGGGGTCCCAACGGCAGGCTCGTGTCGAGTCGACTTCGGCGGTTGTTCCTGACCCCGCGGGGATCGTTCGAACTTGCACGATCGGCCGTTCCCGACACGTCATATCGTTCAACATCGAACAATTCTGGGTCGCCAGCGGCGCTCAACGTTGAGCACCCGCGGCAGAGTCACTGCCGATCGACACGACGCGAACCTACCGTACTCCAACGTTGTATCACAAGGAAGGGGGGTCATCACCATCCCAGACGAGCAGTGTTAGACCCCCCCAGACCAGCCGCCATGAGAGGGCGGCCTTTGTGCCCAGACCTCGCTGGCACCCTTCAAACACAATACCCACTAACACTGCTCAGTACGTGCAATGCGTGGGGCCGCGGACCGTCTTCCCATCCCACCATCATAGGGGGATGCGAAGGCCCTGGTGACGGGACAAGGTGGGCATGGGTTGGTATCTTAGCTGGCTCACCATCAAGAAGAAACACCATATCTTCTTCATCAACAACTGCAAGACTGATCCACTTACGGATCCGAATCAACTCCCTTCATGGGCATAAATCCAAACGAAGCAGCATGATCTATCTCTGGCACCTGGGGAAGCCAACAGGTAACGATATCGCTACTCCCCGGACCTCTCCCGAAGGGCCTCTCAGGAGGCCCCAAAAAGGCGAAAACGGGGGAAGGGTAATGGTATGGGTACCTTTCTTCCACCGACTACGGGCACCCTCCAAGACAGCTCCAATCATACCCCTGAGAAACGGGGGCGCGCAGACATGGATTAGCAATCCATGGATTTGGCGCGCGGTAGCCAAATCCATGGGTCGGGGAAGGTGCCCTCCCCAAGATGCGGCCGGTGCCGCCTCGCTCGGCGGCGGAGCTCCGCGATTTCCCATGGAAACGGGGCCTGTCGCTGATCCACGCCCCCTTGATCCATGTTTGCGATCGCCTGACCAAGAGCAGACCACCCCGTCGACGTGCACACGTCGTCGGCGGGGGGCGGACGCGTGCGGTGCCCGCCCCCATGGGCTGTCCACCCGCTCCTATGGCCACCCCTGCTGCTCCTACGTCGTCGCTCTTGTCCCTGCCTGCTCCTCGTCCTCGCCGTCGTCGGCATCGCCCCATGCCTGCTCCTCGTCCCTGCTGTCGTCGCCCTCACCCCTGCCTGCTCCTCGTCCTTGCCGTCGTCGTCCTCGACCCTCCCTGCTCCTCGTCCCTGCCGTCGTCCTCGCCCCTGCCTTCTCCTCGCCCTCCCTCTGGGCAGGGGGAGGGGGGGGGCAGCAGAAAACTCCGCGGCGCGCCCGGAAGGGAAAGTGACAAAGGGCGGGCCTCCCAAGAAGGCTCAGACTTCCCCAGCCTCCTCCTCCTCCTCCTCCTCCTCCTCCTCCTCCTCATCATCATCATCATCATCAGCAGCAGCAGCAGCAGCAGCAGCATCATCATCATCATCATCATCATCATCAGCATCAGCATCATCATCATCATAATCATCATCATCATCATCATCATCATCAGCATCAGCATCAGCATCAGCATCAGCATGAGCATCATCAGCATCAGCATCAGCATCATCATCCTCATCCTCATCCTCATCCTCATCCTCCTCCTCCCCCTCCTCCTCCTCCTCCTCCTCCTCCTCCTCCCCTCCTCTCCTCCTCCTCCTCCTCCTCCTCCTCCTCCTCCTCCTCCTCCTCCTCCTGCTCCTCCTGCTCTCATCCTCCTCCTGCTCCTCCTGCTCCTCCTGCTCCTCCTCTCCTCCAGCTCCTCCTCCTCCTCCTCCTCCTCCTCATCCTCCTCCTTCTCCTCCTCCTCACCCTCCTCCTCCTCCTCGTCCTCCTCCTCCTTTTTTTCCTCCTCTTTTTCCTCCTCTCATCCTCCTCCTCCTCCTCCTCCTCCTCCTCCTCCATTCGACTCTCCTCCTCCTCCTCCTCCTCCTCCTCCTCCTCCTCCTCCTCCTCCTCCTCCTCCTCCTCCTCCCTGTCCTCCTCTTCCTCCTCCTCCTCCTCCTCGTCCTCCTCTTCCTCCTCCTCCTTCTCCTCCTCCTCCTCGTCATCCTCCTCCAAGACAGAGAGAATCTCTCAGAAGGCGACAGGGCGTCTGAAGAGTCCCGCCGTGTGTCCCGCCGCGTTCTGAGACGAGCTGCTCCTGCTCATGCCCCCCCCCCCCCCGCCCTCGCTTGCCGCCGCAAAATGTCTACGGGGCGGGGTCGGGTCCTCCTCTCTCGATTGCATTATCCCTGCTCTCCCCTGGCCTCTCCCTCCTTCCCTTGCTGTCGCCTGAGAGGCGAAGCTTGAAAACGTTGTCTAACTACGCCGGGGGTCGAAACTCGTGGCCGTCATTGCCGCAAAGCGTTCTACTCCTACCCTGCCCCAGCTCGTAGGGAGTTTCCATATGCTCTCTGAATTCGCGGTTGGACGTATCGATGTTGTCATGTTGCGTTGGTGTCGCAAAAACAACGTGGTCGAGGCTGGGATTGCAAACGCGTCGCACGAGCTGGACCCGACGACCCGAATCTTCCGCACCCACACCTGTTTCGGCCACCTGGTCTCGGCACGTTGAGGCGTGATCAGGCGCGTGTGGGCTACTTGGGAAGGTTTCTGTGATTCTCTGGGGGCGTCTCCCCCTTTCTTCACCGTGCCCTGGGTGATGGAACAGCCGCCCTTCCGTTTTGGCCCTCGGCGCCCTCTTTCGACGTGAAGACGGCTCCTGAAGCGACTGCATGATCGGCCCAGTCCGAGCACCGTTTAACCAATCCATATCCCCACTGGCGTGGCCTGGGCCCCACTGGCTGGTTCATATCCCCAGGTGAGGATATAGGCTGTTCCCTGGAAGTCCCACTGCTCTTTCGGGCGTAGGTGGTCTTGCTTTCCATATGCCCCTCTTCCCCTTCGGTGAGGGGCTTACCCCTCCCCCGACCCCCTCTCATGAAATTGGACGGGGGGTCAGCGGGGTTGGGGCGTCCAAGATGCCCCATGTTGGCTCCAAGAGCGCCTCGGAGTCCAAGGTGAGCTCCAAGATGGCTCAAGATGTCCCAAGATGTTTCCAGATGGCTTCCAAGATGCGCCGACAGACCCCAAGACCGCTCCAACACGGTTCCAAATGGCCAACAAGCTCCCCAAGGAGGCCCCGAAGAGGCCAACATCCTTCCAATTCCAAGGAACATCTATGCTGATTGTTTTCTCGCCTTTTCGTTCCCAGTGGCCATCCGAAGCCTCAAGATGGCTCGACGTTGGCCCAAGAGGGCCTCAGGAGATGCCCAAGGGGGGGCGGCCCCAAGAGCGCCCAAGAACGCTCCAAAAGCGCCCCAAAAACGCCCCAAATGGCGACTTTTGGGACTCCCGAGGGGCGACGGGAATTGAGGAACCCTTTTTGTTTCGATCGATGTCCTCCAACATGGCCCCAATGGCGCCCTTGAAGCTCCCAAGAGCGCCCCAAGACGGCTGCAAGAAACGCCCAAACCGCCCCAAAAAGCGCCCAAGAGGCCTTCAAGAGGTTCCCAAGAACCCCCTAAACGCCCAAATAAGCCCCGGGGCTCGCCAAGATGCCCCTCCTCCTCCTCCTCCTCCTCCTCTTCTTCCTCCTCCTCCTCCTCCCCCTTTTCCTCCTCCTCCTCCTTGTCCACTGTCTCTTCCTCCTCCCTCCTCATCGCCCTCCTCCTCCTCCTTTTCCTCCTCCTCATTCTCCTCCACCATCCTCCCCTGTTGGGGTATCGGATGGTTTTCCCCGCCCACTGTTCCTCTGCATGCTCCCCCACTTCCCTGATCACCTCAACTCCCCTGGGCCTCATTTCTGGATGGGCTGGTGGGGATTTCTTGTTCGCGAGCGCAAACAAAAGGGCCGCGCGCCGTCCAAAGCTACAGCTGACAAGCAGGAGCCTAAATTGCACCAAGGGAGAAGAACAGAGAGACAGCAAGAAACAGCGGAGGTGAGACTAGCCGGGGCGGGCCGCGCGGAACTCACAGAGCGGGTGCCATCGGCAGCTAGCCACCGCCAGAGGTGCAACGTGAGGCTGTGCTTCGGGACTACAACCGACCCGGCCATAATACCCGTAAAACCTTGTTCCGCTCCTCCTCCTCCTCCTCCGCCTCCCACCCCCCTTCCACAATTACACAATATGAAGACGA